TGAATAAATTTACATTTTTCTTGATTCAAAATTGTTTATAATAATTGCATTTAAAATTATCATTATGGATAATCATTCTCGCAATATCTAAGTAGAAAGATTACAATAAATCTTTGATGACAGATTAAGATTGTAAAAAATATGCGCTTTTAATGACATCCTATCACTTATTCGAAGATATAATTGAATAGTAATGTTATTTCTTTTTATCCTTTATAACATCAGATTTTATTTTTCAGCCGAACGAAGTTGAAAAATAGACATTAAACATTTGATTTGAATCGCATTATCTGTAATCTAATCATGTGTGACGTTTGGCATAGAAATATTCCGGGCAGTATCGTTAATTGATTATTCATTTTTCATTAAATATTTTTAATGTTTAATGAAAAATGAAGCATGAACTTTTAGTTCATGCTAACTGAACACGTTTGATTATTATATTAACCAAAAAGTTTTACAAATCATCTACAATTTGTACCTTGCAATGTTCAGATAGAAGATAGATATAAAAAGTTTGACAGGAGTCTTGATAAATAATTGAAATTTGGAAGAGAATAGAATTAACCAACAAGCAATATCCATGATTCAGAAACTGCAATGCCTCATTCCATAAAATTCCATTATCAAACTTGACCTTAAAGGTATTAATAACTTTTTTGAAAGAAAAAAAACGGAATTTGATTTTTGAGATGAAATATAACATTTTTGCATGAGAATCCTACCAGGATGCCCTGCATTGGAACCATTCGCTGCATTAAAACCATTTCGCTGCTTTCATAAATTTCACTTTGATGTCACCGACCGGAAATAAACATTTTATCAAAAATGGCTTACAACCTAAGTTTAAAAATTGCAAACATTTGATTGCACGCATTATTTGCGGTATTTCAAACGTTTAAAACCATAACATCCAATTACCGCAAACTCCAAAATATAAGAAGTCACCATAACATCGCAAATCGAAAGTTTCCATTTAACTCTGCATCATTAATTGCGTAAAGTCGAGGTCAGTGCCAGCACATCCCTGATCAAAATGATTATAATTATATGATAATAATATCTTCGTTCAGTAAATAATGTAATGATAATTGCTTCTACATTCAACGTGAGTTAATTGAAATTTGAATGTCGTTATCATTGATTTAAGAATCAGCAATTTAGAATATATTGGACAAGCCTTGTTGATTATCATGTCACTTAATTCCCTGATACTTCTTTCTTTATTCTCCATCTAATTGGTAAAACCAGAAAACAGAAATGAATAATACATTTTTCAGAAATGCTAAAACACATCGAATCGAAATATCATCAATGTGAACAATATCTCATAACTGTGAAATGATCAAACAATTTTGATATCGAATCAATGAGCTCGCCACTTCCAATTTTATTAACATCTCAATAACACATTTTTAACAATATCATACAAAATATAATTATTAGAATGTAGATAAGTATGGTAGAATTAACGGTCAGTCAAAAAAAATCTGTTATCTATTAATTGATAAAAATTTATCTTTACTTATTGTCAATTCTCTTTTTTAAAGATGACCATTTGGAAAAATGGCTAACAACCAGATATTTGTTATATGTGTTCGTGAACTGAATTAGCGTGAAGAAGTGGTAAAATTTTTTAGGTGCCAATCTAACGCCCTATTCGTTTAGCAAACTTTTCAACAATTCATCTATCTCGTAGATATTTGTATATATGTGGTTGTATGAGCCCGTCTGCCTAAATATGAGCGCCTTGAAACAAATCATCTATTGAGATGTTTGTTATATTTGTCGAGAAAATCTTTTACATTAAATATTCTTTTCTTTTTTGGCAAAACTTTTAACTTTTTTCTTCGAAAAATTGCAATTTAAATGTTTTTTTATAAAGCGAAAACTCGTATCTTTTGTTTTTTATGGGAAAATTTAGGAAGTTAGTTCAAGCAATTTAAATTTAAAGCAAAAAATTTAATTTAAGTTAATCATTATGGATTATATTATAAAGATCTTTTAATATAATCGTCATATCTAGTTCACAAGCTCATCAAACCTGTCATAATTTAGTTCAGCCAATTTGAAATGATTTGAATTAGTAACATCTTCACAGATATCCATGAAATATTTCACAGATTTTATTCACTTGATATCAAATTTTATTCATCGTCTATATATATATATATATATGTATCTTAGAGCAATAGATCTCAAAGAAGAAATGTTCCAGAAACAATAAATAGTGGCTAAATGATTAGTGGCAATAAAGATACCGTAACCTTGGATATTTCAGAGGCTCAGTTCTGTTCTATCAATCTAACAATCATTACTAGCCCATATCCATAGCTCAGTATATATTTCCTGAGAACCAACCAAATTACATTATTTATCAGAACGACCACACAACGACACATCACCGATACAAATGCACCATAAGCAGAAGGCATAAAAGTACCAAATCTTTCACAATTATTTATATATAATGAAAAGAGATATATTTGAGAGAAAATGAAATCATACTAGTTTGAAATTTAAATTACAACTTAATAGGTTGACAAATTTTGATGGAAGGAAATGCTCACATGACATTAGCCAATGCCTAAATGACATCTAACTTTGGATTAGAATTTTCACTTGAGGGAAATATGATAAAACACAATTAATCAACATTTTTTCGAAATAAAATTAAAGTAATATGAATAAAAGAGAAATTTAAAAGACAAAAAAGCCAATGAAATCAACGAAAACAGTTAATCAGAATGAATCAATCTAATAGCATACACACTTTTGGAATCAAATATTGAGCCTAAAATGGTGTGGTAATTGATTGCACGACGTTCTCGAAATCGTCATTGGCATTATAAATAAAAAAAAACAATCATCCTGTGCCTAAGACATCAAAGGCTCCACACCGACTGCCAATGTCCAAAAAAACGATTATTTCTTGACAATTTTAATTTCTTGACAACAAAGATTTTTTCCTCCAAGCCATAGAAAATGCATTATAATAAACTAATTGTATGTATTTATTCCCTGTATCTTTCCTTTCATTCCGGAAAACAGAAGCAGGGAAAACAACATTCTGGTATTTTAATTTACAATCCGAAAGCTTACTTTTTCCAATGTTTCCTGAAGAACGATCAAGAGTGAAACACACCAATTTGCTCACTTGGCGTCACCAGAGATATTTACATATATACTAAAATGAATGCAGAACCACTGTGCAGTATTACTTCCGATAGTTCCTCAATTGCATTTCTGAGGTGTTTATCCGCGATTTTCGGAATCAGAAAAACAATGATAGCATTAATACTTCAAACTTTTCCATTTTAATTCTATAACTTCCATCATTGTTGTTATTTGCCCTGAATGTATCACTTCGTTGTTTTCTTTTTACACTAATTTGAATAAATTCTCAACTTACATAAATGGATAGCTATCAATCTAACAGATCACTACCGTAATCTAACTTGAAAAGAACAAACTTTTTGCTTATTAACTAATTTTGCTCTTCAAATTTGAAACCATTCCAAGTCTACATTTCAAAAAATTCGCAAATTTTTTGCCTGCATTATAAATAAATTTACTATTATTGTTTGGTAATTCGTCGTGATCGATCAAAAAAAGAAAAAAAATATAGCCAGCGATAATATTATAATCATTGCCATATTCCCGATAATAATTTTCTGCAATGCAAATCAGCATAAGGCAAAATAACGCATCCGGAAATTGTGATAAGCGTCTTAAGCTAAACCGGGAAGGAAGGAAGGAAGCTGATTCAGTCCTCAAAACTCATCACACAATGGTCAGCAATTCTCACTCTGCCTCTTACTTTTATGAATGAAATAAATGAAGTCTATGAGTATTGTCAACAAGCTTTCCTGAAAATAAGATTGCGGGTATTATTGAAACAAATAATTATCTGTTCATAATACCAATTATTCATTATGGCGAAAACTGGACAGTGAGAGGTTATCAAATATGAGATAGGATAAATCGAGCACGTTTACAGATATAAGTGAAGTTACGCTGATTTAACAAGAAGTTCTGAGTGTTGAAAGAGATTTAATAGTGATATGAATTAAAAGAAGAAAATAAGCGCAAACTATAATAATTGTTAATAAAGTATACTCTCAGTAGTCAAGTTTCATGGTTAGAAACCGTATCAGTTCATACGATTATACGTGATCACTGCTCTATTACTTTACTTTTCCCTTCATCTATTATAGCATAGTATTACTTTAAAATAAAAGAAAGTGTGGAAGGAGATGTTAGAGAAATGAGAAAGATTTCGTGAAAAAGAAATCTTTGGACTGTAAAATCATACCATTCCCTTCATATAGTGATAACAGTTCAGTGTTAGGTGAAAAAAATAAAAAAGACAGCGATGATAAGCCAGCACACTTACATATATGTCTGTTGATAAGCGATATTAAACAGAGGAAGAGTTGGGAGTTTGATTAGATGAAGTTTCATTCCCTATAAAAAGGACCAAGTAATGCGTTAATAGCGACTAATTTTTTTTTGATAATTTATCATATAGCTTTCCCATTACCATTTGTTATTATCATCTTTTCCCACTGAAAACTTTCAGTAAAATCTAAGATCAAATACTTTTCATCGAGTAATATGGACATTGATAATTGCGTTTTGGGTCGTCAAAGTGACGGAATTGGGATTGTTAAACTGATTATGGTCTGTAGATTTACTTGTCACGAGATGATGATTGTTTCGGTCCTAATCCAGTGTGGTCTTTTAAGATTTGAGCATTGAATGCAGTTTATTTTATTGCTAATTACTTACTGATTTAGTTTCCGGTCTAAATTTTCTCAAATTCATGGTACTAGGCGGTATAAAAGTTACTTCTGATAGAACTACGTTCATTTATATTGCATTGTCTAATCATGTCAGTTAGTGATCAGGAATATTCATAATTGCTAATGCGTTCTGATCTTATTACACTACTTCCTTTTTCAGGCATTAGCATAAATTTACTAGTGGGAAAATTAACAATGCCAGGCACACACACATTCTATGATGGCGCGACTGTTTCACAACCGATTGCTGATGCGATTGGTCTTGAAGTTGACAAGGTGTTTTTGTTTGGATTTCTAATTTTTATTCATTTTATATTCAAGTCTTTATTTATAAATTATTTAGCCGTAGAAGTTAAAGAAGAGACGAAAATTTGATAATCATATTATGTAATTGATACAAAACAAATTATAGTTACAGAATTTATTCGTTTCTTCACAAATGTTTTCGTCGTTTCATCCATTAGCTTTCATCCTTGCACACATCAGTACTCAAGCATTATTTATAAACTGTAGGTTTAGGTATTTTATTATGACATAAAAAGAAATGAACAATTGAGAAGTTGCGTTACTTGCACCAAAGTCATCATATAACATATGATAGTGTAGCAGTAGCCTTTTTTTCACGTATTTACATTATTTTAGGTCAACTTGCTTTTATGTCAGTTTATATCGCTACCATTAGCTTATCTTCATTATCGTATATTCGCTTCAACTCGAATTTCGCGAACAATGCGCGTTACATGTCCTACCGTTTTGGGTTTAATGTTTTGTTACTTCTGTTTTGGAAAGTTTGTTTTTATGTTTGTTTCCATTGGGATGACGCAGTAATTAGGCTTTCATTAGAGTATCAGGAGATATATAATTCAATATCTTAAATATGTCACTATATTTCAGAGTAGTTGCTCTGAACTATATTGTAGTTTTAGAAAATATTTGTAATACAGTATCTTGAGATATATTGAAATTCTACGACATAATTAGCAGAACTAAAAACAAATTTAGTACCAAATTTTGTTTTAAAATATATCGCTTCCCGAACTTGGATATCTGCTTTTTTGGTAACTATTGCCAGATCGATCGCAAACTGAAGAGGCTATCAAAACTCTTTGGTCACCTGACTTTCATAAATTTTAGAATCAACTGTACGTCTTTTCAGTGCACTGAAGCATTTAATATTATTAGTTGGCTTGTCATATGCAATTATGCGTCTCTCTCCACCCAAAATTGTGCACAAGTAAGTTCGTCTAATTCAGAATATATGAGATTTTTTAAATTAAAAAAAAAATTTTTTCCTTTGTTGCAAAAACAAGTGTTTGGTGTGCCTCTGTTAAGATGTTCTCTTTATACTTTATTTGTGACGTTATAAGGTGTGCCAAAATAAGCGGAAAAAGTGGAAAAACAGGTTTCCACTTATAACGAAACATGAAGGAGTAAATAATTCATATCATTTTTTAAGAAATAGTGAAAATTTGATAAAAAGATTGAGGTCATAACAATGATCTGATCAGCAACGTTCTTTGGATATCGCAGACTTTGATATATTTAGAATTAAACAAAAAAAACATAGATGAAAAATTAAGCCTAAAAATTGTAGAAGCTGATGAAGCTTACGGATATAACATATAACTTCTGTTTTTTGGCACCGATAATTTAGTTGATGCAAGAAGTCTATATCGTTTTATCAGAATACATTAATGGAAATAGACTCTGTAATCTGTTTGTTCCTAATTTGCAATATAATTGAAACAATTTTTGTTTAGAGACAATTTATCATATTTTTCTTCACAGATGTATATTTTTATTCGCTATGGGTTACCTCGTTTTCCTCCATTGGTACCGCTCGTATGTATTGACTACTTACTATCTCGATGTTACCGGTCCAATGATGGTTGGTTGTTTTTTTTTATCGCCGTCACTGTCATCAAAAATAGAGCGAATTTTGAAGTTAATAAAAACTGAGTGTCTCTGCTACGATTTTTATTTTCTTTCAAATTACAAATCTTGTAGATCTTGTAGAATCTTGTAGAGCATTGCCATCCAGTAAAACATTTAGTAGAAAGTTGCATACTACATCTGTTTGGGCATACATTTTTTCTTTTTTTGCAGATACTCGTCCAAAAAATTACAGTGCTTGCTTTTGCTTTACACGACGGAAGAGTGAAGAAAAGCGAAGAATTAAATGATATGCAAAAAAGAGAAGCCCTTACGTAAGTACGGGTTTTATTCCGGCTTATTTTCATTATAATCATTTTTTGAAATTAAAGTTGCCAATTTGCGGCGCTAATTTGTTTTTACTTCATTTTACAGATCTAACTTGTAATATTAATTTTCTACTTCAGTTTGCACTGCTAATTTAATATGCAAGTTAAGAGGCTTAAGGCATAACATTCATTCGGACTCAGATTAAGTTAAAACAAATGATTGATATCTGTGGCAGACTTATTAGACCATCGTGATGTACAGTTGTTCAATTCTTAAAGAGCGCGATCTACAAAATATATAGATATTCTGGTATTTTATCATTTATTATAGATCACTACCCGATGCACTGAGTTTTCTGAGTTATATGTTTCATTTCCAAGCAGTATTAACTGGTCCAGCTTGCTTTTACACAGATTATATGGCATGGATTAATCGAACAGCTGCTATTGGCAAAGATGGGAAGGTTAGTATGTTGGCTTTAATTATTTCATATTAAAAACGGAGCATAAGATAGTAATGCGAGATAGAGTATGATAATTCAAAATTTATCAAAGATAAACGACGAAGTCGATGAAAGGCCACTGTATTGTATGCAACTATGACACAGTTTTTTGCCAATGAAGTAGCATTTCCAGGTATTATTAGCTCATTCTCTGATTTTTAGCAGTGTCTTCACCAAACTAAACACCAAGTGTTGCTGTTTATGCGAAATTTTCCAGAATATTTTTGATCTTAAAACGATTAATAATTGTGAATTAACTAAAAATGTTACTGATGCAGTGTGGTGCTACCATAATCAAAGAATTTCAACAAATAATATTGCAAGTCAATCTGTAACTTCGCAATTTGCAGGTTGAGAAGCCTTGGCGTGCAGTATTAACAAAATTATCACAAACAGCAGTTTTCATGTTGTTGTATGTTTTTCTTGCTGATCGCTTTACTCCTGATATTATCATTGATGAAAAATATATGAACCTGAATTGGATCCAATGGCTATTTGTATTGTACATTGTAATGGCTTTTCAACGGGTACCATATTATTTTGCATGGACTTTGGGTTAGATTTTTTCATTGGAATTAATATTAATTATTTTATGTAGTTGTATTTCTATATGAATTCCGGGAATCATCATCAAATTTTTCCTTGTTTTACCGTAGTTGAACAAGCAAAACTTAGATTGCCGCGGAGCATGGCTCTTGCAGTCAGAAAAATCTTTTCTTTAATGAATAAAGTAGATTGAAAGAACATTAAAACCAATTGTTTTTTTTGATTAAAAGCAACCATGAAAATTTACAGCTGACGCGATACTTAATTTGAGTGGTTTCGGATTTAGAGGTTATGATTCAAATGGGCAGCCTCAGTGGGATTTAGCTACCAATGTCAAGCCTTGGAAAGTTGAGGTATTATTTTGATTTTTTTGATTTTAGGCAAAACTCTGTTTATATATTTATTACATTGTCTGCATTAGGATCAGTTTTTTTATTTAAAGATCTGGTTTTTTTGAAAATTTCCAGACAGCATTAAATTTCAAAGAAACGTTAGAAGCATGGAACTGCTGTACGATGTACTGGTTGCGACGTGTTGCATATGACCGCGCTCCAAAAGGGTATGTTTTTCGCAATTTTGAAACTGTTCGAAAAAGCTTTTTCCTACTTGCACATTTTAATCTTTGTCGTCTTAAAATTTGCTTAAATTTTCAGGTACCGAACTCTATCGACTTATTTATTGTCAGCAGTTTGGCACGGTTTCTTTTTGGGTTATTATGTCACTTTCTTGACTGGCGCTTTGTTCACCGTTTCTGCGCGAACGGTATTGTCGCATTTTAATTTGATGTGTTCGATCACAGTCCGACATCATTTTTTTAGTAGATCATGCATATATTTTCGCACGGATGGTTAAGACTTATGAGAATATGGTTAATACTGTTATAGATGTATTGAGCAGCAGGGGAACTTCACCTGAATTAATCGTTGGATTAAGGGAGAAATATTTATTGGAATTTCATATATAGTCTTCACATTGAGAGTTTTCTTAAATTCAGGTACGTCGTTGCTTACGTTGGCGTTTTCAAGGAAATAAATTTTTACAACGCTTATATGACATGCTCACACTGGTTATTACCAAAATTGCTCTATCTTATGCATCATTTCCGTTTGTCATGATGCACCTTGGACCCGGTCTGCATTTCTACAGGTATTATTTCAAGGACATTGCCTTTTTAGTAAAGTTTGAAAATTACTAACTCTGCTATCTAAGTCATTTCAAGTTATAAACTATAAAGTTAGTTAGGTTATTTTTCATTCTTACTTAAGCACATCTTTCATTGCTTGTTTACTAAAGTTCAGCTTTCAGTCGTTTGTATTTCTGCTTCCATATTATTGCTTTCCTTTCTTTGTTTGTTCTGCCACGAATATTGCCTCCACAATCAGAATCGCTTCGAAGAAAAAATGACTACAACGTGAAAAAATCATGACTGGAGTTGGTATATACTTACAATCGACAAAGCTTTCTAATAATGATGGAGTGCCATTATCTTCGATAATATATCATATATTTTTCTTGAATTAGAAGGTATTATTATTATTAGTAATGCTGCAGTAAATTCTATTGGGGAAAAATGATACTTTTTTGATTTTATGTTATGCATTAGTTTTAAATTCATTTTTTTTGCTCTAAAAGATTTCATTCAGTTCATATTCTCTTGTATCAGATATTCTTCTAGGCATTTGATTATCAAATTTCTTGCTTCTCTGTAGTTTTTGATCTTAAAATGCTTTTTTATTATTGAGCTCTCAGTTTGAATTCTTTTGATTCTTTATTTCACGTAATTTTATACTCAGTATTTAGAGAAAGTCTCCTAATAAATTTCGCTTAAAAAGAATCTTATTGATATATCATGACTGTTTGCTATATGCTCAATTTGAATACTCTCTCTTTTTTCCTTACTTCTTTTTCTCTTAAATTTCATATCTAGTCAGCTCAATCTCATTTTTTCGTTCGCAACAGGAAAATATTGATTTTATGTTTCATATGTTGGTTTCGATTTTTTTTCACTTGCTATGGATTTGGTGTAGTAAATTTTTTTGAATTGCTACAAGATTTCCAGTTGAGAATTCCACATTTCACAGGCTGTATTTCTTTTTAAAATTTCTGTGCTCATTATAATCAACTGGAGGGCTACTTTGCTCCGTTTTTTAATTTACGATAGCTCGAAAATTTACAAATGCTACTTACATTTCATTACTCTTCAGTAGTCATTCTCACTGACTTTTGCTGTTCTCGGTATTTCCTTTTCTTTGTTTTCTTATAACAACACTTTTCATATCTTGGTTTTGTGTGTCACTGTGTTTAAGACGGCAACCGAAATGAGATACACCAGAAAAAAAATACCAACCTTCGACTTGTAACGATCGAATTTCTAATTATTTTTAGTAACAAAGATTTCCAGGAACTATTTATTTAACCGTAATAATATCCATTTTTTATTTCATTTTTGTAATTAAAAATATCTGAGTGTTATACCTCTGTATTTAATTTTGTGAAGTTCATAATATGTTAACATAGTTAATGATAAAAATTGCGCACTTTTGGAAATCTTACTCAGCGATTGAAGTGGCTTCTACCGATAAGCTATTATTAAAGTTATTGCCAATAATTTATTAGTGACAGGCATGTCTTTAAGGGGAATTTTCTGTCCTATAATTTTTAAGACAGTCGTTTTTTTGCTGTGTTTCTGTCTTCCAGATTTATTATCAGAATCCAGAATATCCCGTAATTGATCGGGAGAAGGGTTACCTGCGATTTATTACTTGTTCATTCTCAATTGCTTTACCGACGTTAGTATACCTTTTTCCTTTTCCAGCGCTTATTCAAAAAATTTACCATTACAATCTTGAAGTCATTTCTGCTTTCTTATTTATTAGTGGCAATATTTTCGGTTCCGGTCATCTGATCGAATCAAAATAATGTTGTCTCGGTTAGCTTGAAACGATGTCCCTATACTTTGATGCTACTTTGCCGTTACTCTGCTTAGCAAGAATGAGACTGTTATTCAATTTCATTGGAACTAACACATTACTGGGATGTAACATCAGGCAGTGGAATTTTTTGCATTCATAACTTTGGTTCTATTTTTAATTTCTTTGTCAGAATGAAAACGATATACATATTGCCCTAATTGATCTTTTTGTAATAAACATTTGCGTAACTCTCTCTACAGGAAGTGGAATTTCTGGATTTCATGCTAGTAATGTGAAACTGGGACGAGCTTCATTCGTACAAACTATGAACGATAAATTGGTGTGATGAATAAGGGTATCAGTCGTTGCTAGACATAGTGGAAGTTCGATTTCTTTTCCCGTTTTCTTCTACTCATTATGATGGAATGAATAAAACATTTTCTGAATCTTTTAAAATATTTCTCACACATATCCTCTATGGAAACTTTTTAATGTGCAAATATGGATGGATTTTTCAAGTCGCTGGAATTAAGGAACTCATTAAATGGGAATTCTTAATCTGTCAATGATTATTTTCTTTTCAGGAATTATCAATAATTGTTTTATTTACATAGCGATGCCCGGTATTCATACATTTTATCCCGGTTCAATCCTGTTGCAACCAGTAGCAAATTCATTAGGCATTGGAATTGACAAAGTAAGCATTTGCTTCAGTTTTAATCTCTAGATTTTTTTCTTGACATTTCGTTCTGTTGTTTAATATTATATCATTAAGACTATTTCATTCACATTTGTACACTTTAAGGATTTTAGAATTACGTTATTTCTTCGTCTTCTTGATCATTTTGAACTTCCAGACCATGTAGTTTCTTTTTCACTAGGAATTGAATGATAATGTTTAATTTGCATTTGTTTTCTTCTATGGAGGGAAGAAATTTTGTCAGGAGGCTTTCCTAGTAATTTTCCTGATCTCTAATTTGGAAGTGGATATTTTTTTTCTCTTCTTTATCGATTACCATAATTGTTTTTAAGTTCTTTCAGATTAACTTAGTGATATGCCAAATTATATCATTGATACTTGCTTATTTACAATACAGCGTCTTCAGTGCAGCTAAGGTTTCACGAATGACACGTATTGCATTTCCTGCTATTTGTGGCTTGATATTTTGTTATTTTTGTTACGGCAAGTACGTTACACGATATTTGCTTTCATTACTTTAACATTATTTATGAAACATTAGAACTTTCATTTCTGTAGGCTCCTCTGCTCATCAGAACAATATTTCATATTTTAACTAGCTCAAATTTTTATTTGAACGTTGGAACTACCAAGTGCTTATGTTGTGCTATATGTTTCTTCCTTTTCTTCATAGTTGTTAATAGATTACTATATACAGCACATTTTGTACTTTTATTGGATCACTAAGGGATTGTATCACTTATGCCATCCATCCGGTTGTTTCGTTTAATCTACTGCTAGTATGAAGTGAAGTAATGTTCTGCTTCAAGTTAGCCTGTGGATACCGTCAAATTTAAATTGCTTTAGGAAAGAAGGTCCAGTTTAAAACTCATGAATGCAATGTGGATTAAGTATATATTTTCAGTGCAATGAAACATTTGGTGTTATTGGTTGGTCTGTCATATGCTATCATGTATTCTTCTCCGCCAGAAATTGTGCATAAGTGCGTATATTATTTATAAGTAACTGATATAGGTAAAGATCACTTCTGTAATGAAAAATGATATAGTTTGAAGTGGCAAGGTTGATTCCGTGTAAAAGTACTGTGTAATTTTTGATTAAGATGTCTTTTTTATAAGTAAAGCTGTAATCAGAACGTTCAGTGGATGTGATATTAAAAAATGCAGTATTTTAATTTATTTAATCAAATGCAACTTCTCTGTTATGGTGCTTATGCCCGCCGTGAAAGTAAGCAGTTTATTTTAGATGTGTATTTTTATTTTCTATGGGGTATCTCGTTTTGATACATTGGTATCGGTGGTATATACTAACAGTGGCCTCTATTGATATTACGGGTCCGATGATGGCAAGTTTCTTATTCGTTTTTCTTTCTTTTCTGCTCTTTCTTCAAGCTCCAGTTATTTTCTTTCTTCAAGCTCCAGTTTTATTTATCATTATTTAAACTTTGAAAAATTCTAGCTATTAGCTGTGTTTTAGTTATTTTATTAGTTAGGAAAGCATTAATGCCTTCTCGATTTGCTTAGTTTTGAACGATATTTCTTTCTATACTCTATTTACAGTTACAGCAGGATTTCACATTTTATACAGAGCATAATGAGGAAATAATTCTCCATTATGCTCTGTATAAAATATGGAAGTGTTGGAAATTTTTTTCTTAAGAAATGTTGTAGATTTTACTTCCAAAACTATGTTTAGGATTTTTTTACGCTACTTGGAGAAGTTTTGTATAAATTGTTTTGAGGAAGTTGATATAATACTTCTGTTTTGCTTCAGATATTGGTTCAAAAAGTGACAGTACTTGCGTTTTCATTGCATGATGGTAAGGTGAAAAAAAGTGATGGACTAAATGAAATACAAAAAAGAGAAGCACTGAAGTAAGTGATCCTTTAAATTTTAGCATTTTTCAAGCTTTTAATTTTCCGATACTTTTAGATTTTGCTTTAAAAGTTGCGATCTGCAAGTTTGCTGGGGATTAGATTACTAATAATGGTAATGTTTTGGGAATTGGTTTTCTGTCGAGATTAATGTGCTTTAATAATCGTACTGCGAAGTATTTATTTGCATTTTTTTACATTGTTGAAGTTAATTTCAGATCGTTACCTGATATTCTGAGCTTTCTGAGTTATATGTTTCATTTTCAAGCAGTTTTAACGGGACCAGCTTGTTTTTATACCGATTATATGGCATGGATTAATGGAACAGCTGCTATCGGCAAAGATGGGAAGGTGTTTTAGCTTTAATTATTTTATATTAAAAATGGAACAAAGGGTAGTAATGGCGGATATAGGCTGATAATTCACGATTATTTATCATTTCAAGATCAAGAATATTCCGAAAATTTTCGTATAAACGGCAGAATATTCCGAAAAATTCCGTTAGTGTTTGGATAAAGACTGCCACCGAATCAGAAAATGACTTAATACCTTCAAATGCTACTTTATTGGCAAAAGCTGTGTCATAGTTGCATACAATACAGTGAAGTTTCATCTGTAACTGAATAATATTACCATGCAGTGCGATGCCGCTTCAATCAAAGAATTTTGACAAATAATATTGCAAGTCAATCTGTAACTTCGCAATTAATTTGCAGGTTGAGAAGCCTTGGCGTGCAGTATTAACAAAATTATCACAAACAGCAGTTTTCATGTTATTGTATGTTTTTCTTGGTGATTGCTTTACTCCTGATATTATCATTGATGAAAAATATATGAACCTGAATTGGATCCAATGGCTATTTGTGTTGTACATTGTAATGGCTTTTCAACGGGTACCATATTATTTTGCATGGACTTTGGGTTAGATTTTTTCATTGGAATTAATATTAATTATTTTATGTAGTTGTATTTTTATATGAATTCCGGGAATCATCATCAAATTTTTCCTTGTTTTACCGTAGTTGAACAAGCAAAACTTAGATTGCCGACGGAGCATGGCTCTTGCAGTCAGAAAATAGGAACACGCTTGCGCATTTGATTACATAAGCATCTTTAAAATGATAGTGAAGGATAATATTATGAAAGTAGAACGCCAAAAGGTTGTCACTTCGGAAAGTCAGATATATGAATTATTGAATTTAAAAATAAGTTTAAAAAAGTATAAAAGAATATTGGATCATGGTTCTGATCTGATGTTTTTATTATAACAATGCACTGTGTCACTACTACGTCATTAATTTTATTTTGTTTCACATGCGCAGCCTTTTTCTACTTCAATTTTTTCTTTGATGAGTAAAGTAGATTGAAAGAACATTAAAACCAATTGTTTTTTTGATTAAAAGCAACCATGCAAATTTACAGCTGACGCGATATTTAATTTGAGTGGTTTCGGATTTAGAGGTTATGATTCAAATGAGCAACCTCAGTGGGATCTAGTTACCAATGTCAAGCCTTGGAAAGTTGAGGTATTATTTTGATTTTTTTGATTTCAGGCAAAACTTTGTTTATATATTTATTGCACTGTCTGCATTCGGATCAAATTTTTTTATTTAAAGATCTGGTTTTTTTGAAAATTTCCAGACAGCATTAAATTTCAAAGAAACGTTAGAAGCATGGAACTGCTGTACGATGTACTGGTTGCGACGTGTTGCATATGACCGCGCTCCAAAAGGGTATGTTTTTCGCAATTTTGAAACTGTTCGAAAAAGCTTTTTCCTACTTGCACATTTTAATCTTTGTCGTCTTAAAATTTGCTTAAATTTTCAGGTACCGAACTCTATCGACTTATTTATTGTCAGCAGTTTGGCACGGTTTCTTTTTGGGTTATTATGTCACTTTCTTGACTGGCGCTTTGTTCACCGTTTCTGCGCGAACGGTATTGTCGCATTTTAATTTGATGTGTTCGATCACAGTCCGACATCATTTTTTTAGTAGATCATGCATATATTTTCGCACGGATGGTTAAGACTTATGAGAATATGGTTAATACTGTTATAGATGTATTGAGCAGCAGGGGAACTTCACCTGAATTAATCGTTGGATTAAGGGAGAAATATTTATTGGAATTTCATATATAGTCTTCACATTGAGAGTTTTCTTAAATTCAGGTACGTCGTTGCTTACGTTGGCGTTTTCAAGGAAATAAATTTTTACAACGCTTATATGACATGCTCACACTGGTTATTACCAAAATTGCTCTATCTTATGCATCATTTCCGTTTGTCATGATGCACCTTGGACCCGGTCTNTCACCTGAATTAATCGTTGGATTAAGGGAGAAATATTTATTGGAATTTCATATATAGTCTTCACATTGAGAGTTTTCTTAAATTCAGGTACGTCGTTGCTTACGTTGGCGTTTTCAAGGAAATAAATTTTTACAACGCTTATATGACATGCTCACACTGGTTATTACCAAAATTGCTCTATCTTATGCATCATTTCCGTTTGTCATGATGCACCTTGGACCCGGTCTATATTTTTACAGGTATTAAAAATTTGATAGTTTTTCTTTTTACTTTTATTCACTTTATTTTCCGTGGACAATTTTATTTGTTATTGCATGGCTTAGTGCATTGAAGTCTTTGTTTTAAGCTTCATTGACTAAGACATCAGTGACTAAACTTTTGTGGCCATTATCAGAAGTGATAATTCCATACTATTCGATTATACTGATTGATTTCGTAAATTAGCAGTACATATTGCATGCCAAAATTATCGTGAGAAAAAGAAAGAAGGAGTTTTTAAATAATTTCTAGTCGTTGAATTTGCAGTCTTCAATCATTCCTCATCTTCGCTCCTCAAGAGCTAACTGTGTTTCTTTTTCTATCAATTGACGCTGATGATGAGAAGTCTATATCATTTCGCAGTTAAATTTTTACAGTTTAGCTGATTTTTTTATAGGCAAATGTATTTTTGTTTACACTTCACAGCACTTTTTGCTATATTTCTCTTGCCTCGAATATTGGCTCCAAAATCAAAACCAATAATTCAAAGTGGAAGAATTGACGACATAAAGAAATCATCGTAATCAGATCTGTTATACGCTCATAATGGACCTTTCTTCGTCGGTATCTTTCTTCGATGAAACTAGTATTAAACAATAGTGTTATATTTAAAAATAAAGAATTTAATCTTTGCGCTGTTTTCATCGTTACAACTTAATTCCTGTTGTGGTTCACTACATATCGCAATGGTTTATTTCATTCATAGTTCAGCTTGCTCTTTAAATTCGTATTTTTCAGAGATTTCATAGCTTTATGTCATTCCAGTATCATTTTCAACTGGTCAGTGGTTTTTATTTTCTTAAGCTGTCCCATTATTTTTTCTACTTGATTCATTTTTTTTTCATTCCAAATCTCCGTATTCTTACTAATTTGTTTAGAACAGCAACATGCTTGTCAATGAAATCTCAAATCTTTCTTCTGTTTTCAAAAATTATGCAACTCTTCAGTCTTTACAGGTTGTAATATATTTAGATTTATTACATAGAGTTCTAGTATATGAGAATCAAGTGACTTTGCAGCTAGTTGCAGAAATAATTGCATAGCATGAGTCTCCACGATCGAAGTTTTAGAAAGTTTGAAAAGAAGCCAAATATTATTATTCAATGTGAACATCAAAAATTCTATTCTATAAAAAGAAAGATTCCATTTCAATATCCAGAAAGGCTGCAAGGTTTCGTCCTCCTCTTGCATATGGTGTGTACACCTTTACAATACAATATGTAAATTTGTTGCCTAAAGGCCAATCTGCTGTTCTACTTTTTCAGGTTTTATTCTGCTTTATCAAATTGGTCTCGTTATTTTTATTGTTGAAAGTGCATTGCTATACTTAAAATATCATACGCATATTCTACGTCGTTGTGATCTTTAAGCCATGCACATTTTCCAGTTCAAGCAACACATTTGTTCAAACAAATTATTGCATTGAACATATCTTCCCTACTTCCTCTATGTTGAAAGATTCGTTAAATGATAATGCCGAAAATACAAAAAATTTTTAAATTTCGAGGTCAAACAGTTGTAAAGCAAGAAATCGATAAGAATAATAGAAGCGAAATAATAATAGCTTATCTTTAGTGGCGTATAGCTTTTAATATGTTCGGAAGATTTTGCTTTAGAATGCATAAACTTACCACTAAAATTGCACAGTGGATTTCATAACTAATTATTTCTTATTAAATTAAGAAAAAATTTTGGCAATGTTTTAATTTCCTGAACAACACTATATGTGCCATCACCTAACAGTGCATCTTACGCATAAAAAATTCTTCAAAGAAACGGAAATCTTGAGATAATGGGGTGAAAATGTGCAGAAGAATGTGCTTGTAAAGAATATGCTGTAATATTTAACAAAGCAATCTTTATGTTTAAAACTTTATGCTGAGCCGCGTTTGGCAAGTATTGGTCATTGATTGTTTGCTTACCGGACATGCTAATTGACATGTTGGATGGGACGTTTCAGAACAAAGAATTGTTTGAACGCATAGCATGGTCTTGCCTTCGAGAACTTTACATAATTTGAACATTTTCCCCGAGTTCTTTCATGAACTGAGGGAATAATCCTATGGTATTCAGATTTGGACGTCATGTCACCGTGTTAAGGTATGAATACATGATCACATAAGTTTCATAAAGAACTGATATCTTGCAAACCGAGAAATTTAATTGATGAAATCAAAAACTGCCATTACACAGTTAATTCCATAAAACATTACTGTCTGTTCTCTAAACAAACTGCCTAAATTTCAAATTAACATTTTTGTGATGTAGGCATTGACTGAATGTAAGCTGTAAACTGTTGTTCAGAAACAGGTTTCTAGAAATTGCGTACATATGTTTACTTTATAAAGAAATGGAACGTCAATTATTGTCGCAAATAAAAGGACAAAAGACCTCGAACAAATTAAGAACAGGTGGACGAGAAAGTGGAACAAGGTCGAATGCCACTGCATTTGAAGTCATCTAATAGGGAAGTTGGAAGTTTTTACAAGTAGAATTAGAAATCGCTTTAATCGGATGATGATTAGCGGTTTTCTATTCTACAGGTAAGTGAGAGAAATAGAAATGACTTTTAGCTTTTGTCTTGTCAACAAAAATAGATGATATTTTACAATTATCAACAAAGAAGCATCATTTAACTCTTTATAATTTTTCAGTTTATGCTTAACTTTCTGGATACATTACTTTCTGCATTTGCCATCTTAATGACCTGAAAACTTAACAAGACGATGTGATGCTGCCTTTTTTAATACTAATTTCAGAAAATCTTATGAAGTTGAATTGTGCTGATAAATTATTCGAAAGCGTAATTTGTCTTTTAAATTTTAAAAAATTTGCGAAGAGATTTTATGAAAAACAAGCCACTTGTACTATTTTTTCATTTTTCACCTTATATTAAAATAAAATGCAATGTATAAAAAGTTCTTGAGAAGACTGTTTTCTTTTTGCAATGTTATTTGATCATTTCAGACGAAATTTTTCGTCTGAATTTAAAAATGTAATGTAAACCGTAAGGAGTATTAATTGTATCAACAAAGAAATGTGACAAGTGTAAATATTTTAATTATCAAACCAATTAGTATTGATTCAGCACTGAACCAGTTTATCGTCGAGTACCATCCTCGAAAAAGACACCTCCATCGATAGCGCAATATTTCGGGCAGATACCCTTCTCTCCAGGAGCACCAGGTGCTCCCGGTTCTCCTGGCATTCCAGGTTGACCATCGGCACCTGGCTCTCCTGGTGGTCCAGGCGGCCCTTTCGGTCCCGCCGGTCCTGGTGGTCCATCAGCACCCGGTTGTCCCGGTGGACCTGGTGGTCCAGGTGGTCCCATATCACCTGAAATGTTTGCGCTTAGTTTTCATATTCACTTTGCATATCTAATAATCCCATGATTTTCTTCACTGCGACTTAACTGTTGAAACATATCAATTTTAAATCACTGAATTACCTGGTGGTCCAGGTTCTCCTGGAATGACGTCTTCGCTTGGTGCATCCTCTCCTGGTGGACCAGGCGGTCCTTGTGGCCCAGGCTCTCCAGGTGGTCCTGGCGGTCCCTTTGGTCCAGCTGGGCCCGGTGCCCCGGCTCCACCAATTTGGCCTGGTGCTCCGTCTGGCCCTGCATCTCCTGGTGGTCCTGGTGGTCCAGGCGGTCCAGGCGGACCAGGTGGACATGGCTGACACGGTGGTGGTGTCAGTGGTTCACATGGTTGCATTGGTGGTCTTCCTGGATTTCCTGGCATTCCTGGTACACCGGGCCTATAAAGAATGACAGTAAAAGTAAATTTTTAAAAGCCTTTTCAAACTCAAGAAGACCAGTAAAAGATAAACTTGACAAAAATTCAAATTAGCCCTATCAAATTAAATAATTTCCAGCAAAGTGATTTCTCAGATTAGAAATTCAAATTACCTCCCGGGTTTTCCTGGTCTACCTGGCGTTCCTTTTGGACCTGGTGGACCCGGTAAACAGCAGCTTTCGCAACCAGAAGTATCTTGAGTAGCTTCTTCACCAGCATTTACATCAACAGTTGCAGCATAGCCTGCTTGCCTAGCAGTGCGGTTCTTATTAATCGGCATTTGCTTTAAATGACCCACTTCCATCCAGATATCTTTCGCTGATCCCTAAAAATTAATGGTTGTTGAGATATGCACCAATATTGCCCATAATAACAGCCAATCACTTTTTCAATAATTAATAAATCAGAATTTATCTTATTTTTCAATTTTTTTGTTTATCAGTAAACTTAGCTATGATATTTCATTATTATTTCAAGCGAGAAATATTATTTTGCTTACAAAACTGCATGGTTTAAATAGTATGAACTCAATCTTTATTCATTAAAATTGATAATTCTTAATATTCTTTAGTGCATGAGTAGTATCTCTCAAATACTTCACTGTAAATATAAATTTATCCGACATTCTTTACCTTCCCCCTTTTTGAGAAAGAAATCAGTTATTCAATTTGAGTCACTCTTCTTTTCCATTCTTTTCCTGTTCGATCCACTTCCTTACCTACATTCATTCACTGATGGCCTATTTAAAGTTGAAAAAATTGAAATGAGAAGGTGTATCGGATACAGGCACACAAAAAAAATTCGCTGTTTCATAAAAATTGTTCAATATACAACTAATTAATATACAACTGTAATTGTTACCCAAAATTTTACAATCTTTTTCTCTTGTACTTCAATTTTGTTGACATTTTTTAGCAGTAATATTTCATTTTTTTCAATTCTTCAAGAGAAATACAATTACAGAGAAAATGTTTAATTTTGAATATTCTTTAAAAAAAATAAATTTTATCATTCAAAGAGAATTAATCATACTGAATTATATGATTGGCTAGTTTTATTGTCATTAGTAATAACAAAAAATTAAAAAAATATGATAGTTTTTCAGAATAATTTCTAGAAATTTTGACTTTATTATTATTCTCTTTTCTTCTCATAAAACAATACGTTCTATTCATAAATTCCACGTGAAAATATATCTTTGCTTTACTTAGTAAGATAATTTCACCATAATGTCAAAAATTAAACTATTACAAATATCATTCACTTTTCAGCAAATCAAAATGTCTTAAGCAATCCAAAAGTTTATACTTATTATAAAAGTAGAAAAAATCAACAATTAAATCAAAAATTAATAGAAATGTATTTAAGCTGTGGCAAATATCAAAATAATATACTGTACAGAAATGTAGGCCTTATTGCAGCTCAAAAAGGCTTACCTTGCAGTAATTGATTTCGGATCGCATTTGTCGCCGAACATGATAGACATAATTGTATACCATTGGTAGCGTTATGCATACTGATAGTACAGCGACCGTAGAAAATGTTACTGCAGCATAGGAGACAAATTTATAAGCCTTTATACGATTATCAAGATCCATTTTTGTTATCAACAGAAAGAAGAACTGATTATATCAGTGAAATCTTCTCCCTTAATTTGTTTCTAATACTGTTATTGTAACACGTTAGTGACACTGATGTTCATGCAATCTTTGCACCTATTTATAGGCGTT